TTATAGACAATGACCAAAATTATAGATAATGGCCAAAAGTAGTAATTTTGGATTACCTTGTCTATGTCCGAATTATTATTGAAAAAAAATGTAGTACACATTATTATAACATAGTCTATAATGACCAAAAAGTAGTAATTTTGGATAGCCTCGTCGTCTCAGAACGATGTGCTACAGAATATAATAAATTCGCGCTATCAAAACTGGGATTAAATGAGATAATGACAAAAGAATTAGAACATATATATATAGATGCATATACTTTTTGTTTATGTTAAAAATAAAATCATATTAGTTGTCGTGATACATTTTTGTATCAGTCGAATAGATTCGATAATCTTATGTAGATAATGACTAAGTAGTACGTTAGTAGCTAATCTTTCGATAATCTTATTTAGATATTTACTAAGTAGTACATTAGTAGATAATCTTATGTATGTTAAAAATAGAATAAAAAAAAAAAGAAAAGAAAAGAAGAAAAGAAAAGAAAGGATAAAAATGATTGTTAAAAATAAAATCATATTTGTCGTCGTGATCTAGGCTACCACCCGGGCCGCCCGGGTCACCTTGTTTTCCTGGGCGCCCCGGCCGTGCAAGCACCCGGGAAGGTCCCAGGCTACCAGCAAAAAAAAAAAAAAAAACCGAAAAAAACAATGTTATGCAGAAAAGTAAACTGAACGAAATGTTTTTTTTTTAATATAAAAAATTTGGACCATTTCTCGATTTATGCGTGTCATCCTTGCGTAGGGGCCATTCGAATCTTCTCTTTCTCTGTATCGTTCCAATTTTAACGGATGTTCCGAAGGACAAAGTGAACAACTTTTGCCTCAGGGTCACATCGAAATTCTTTACCAATTAGAAAAGAATATATATATATTTTAATATTTATTTTCTTGTTTCTTTTGGGCCCGGCCAGGCAAGTGGTCCCGGGCCACTCTGGTAGCCTAGGTCGTGATACACTTTCTTTTGTGTCAGTCTGATCTAATTAGATAATCTTTCTTATATATATTGTCACAAGAGTATCAGAGCGCAAATGCGAAAAAAAGGAAAAAAGAAGGAAAAGAGAGAAAAACAGGAAAACTGAATTATTTTTTTATGTGAAAAAAAAAAATATTTGCCGTCGTGCCAGGCTATCATCCGGGCCGCCCGGGTCATCTTGTTGACCCGGGTGGCCCGGCCATGCAAGGGCCAAAGAAGGTCCCAGCAAAAAAAAAAAAATCGAAATAATCTGGAGAAAATTATGTTTTTATGTTTTGCAAAAAAATAAACTGAACAACTTTTGCCTCAGGGTCACATCGAAATTCTTTACCAAATTTTATAATAAAAAATGAAGTTCCAAATTTTTATTTTTTACTTTTTGCCCGGTCGGGCAAGTGGTCCCGGGCCACTCTGGTAGCCTAGCCATCGTGATATATTCTTTTTGCACTACAATAAGTACGCTTGTTTTCCTAATTTATAATTCGGTCTATTTCTCGATTTATGCGTGTCATCCTTGATTGCGCCGGGGCCATGCTAATTACCCTTCTCTGTATCGTTCCAATCCTTTTAACGGATGTCGGGAAGGACATAAGTACGCTGTTTAAGAAATATGTGAAAAAAAAACCCACAAAAAGAAAAACAAAAGTGTCAGTGGTATGTGTGGCGATGTATGGAATGAAAAAAAAAGAAATGTATGAAAACAAAACAAAACAAAGTGTCAGTGGTATGTGTGGCGATGTGTGGAATGAAAAAAAAAAGAAAAAAAGTGTCAATGACTCAATGGTTGTGTGACGATGAATGGAACGAAAAAAAAAGACATGTATGAAAACAAAACAAAACAAAACAAAATGTCAATGGTATGTGTGGAATGAAAAAAAAAAGAAAAAAAAGTGTCAAAGACTCAATGGTATGTGTGACGATGTATGGAATGAAAAAAAAAGAACTGTGTGAAAAAAAAACAAAACAAAACAGAGTGTCAATGGTGTGTGTGGCGATGTATGGAATTGGAATGAAACTGTTTGGCCTTCACAATTTCGTGTGTCATTTGTAGGGCCCCGCTGCACTACTCAACGCTCTACATGCATTTGGACGCCCTTGTGGACCAGATGCACTCGAAGGAGTCCATCATTTTGAATGTCTCGAGACGATTATGAGCTCCAGATTCATATAGAGTGTTCTGTAGTCGAGCGAGGCCCCAAGTTAAGGACCTTAAGGTCAATTTTCGCAGTGCCTGGCTCTTCTTTTTCTTCTTCTTTTTTTGTTTTTTGAATGTATCGAGACGATTATGAGCTCCAGATTCATGTAGGGTGTTCTGTAGTCGAGCGAGGTCCCAAGTTAGGGACCTTAAGGTCAATTTTCGCAGTGCGTGGCTCTTTTTTTTTTTTTTTTTTTTT